GGGGGGGGGGGGGGGGGGGGAATTCCTGGCAAGAGAGAAGTCTCTGGAAGAACATCTATAGCCAAACGAATACAGGGAAATCTTCCCCATCCAACCATTCTTCTTGACTTTGGCTGCACCAGAGGCATCCTCCCTGCTGAAAGCTCCAAGTAGGAGCCTGGGCTTAGTCACACACCTCTAGTGGAGAAAGAAGCCAAGGCATGGAGCATATCTTGGCTTTATTCCTCTAAAGCCATTTCCAAACTGTTTCATACATAGCCATGTGTGTCTGTGCACAGCTCAGACTCTGGCTCCTGTTTCTCAATAGGCTCCTTGGCTCAAGTCTGATCCTCTGCCCATTTTGAGCTCTCCAAGTCTAATTTTAACTACAGGTCTGTGATCTCTTTCATGTCAAAAAAATCTATAGCAGAAGCCAGGAGTGGCAGCTAGGGATCAGCCAGTTGTAATGTTTCACAATTACTCATTCCCTGCTTTGGCTGCCATAGGGATGGTGGCACACAGGAATTGTATCCATGCACATGGATAAACACATACACAACATCACTGTGCTGGCACAGAGTATGGCCTTGTTGCAGTGGCTTTGACTTTGTTTAGACGCTCTGCAGTGTACCTAGGGCACAGAGTAAGCCCACTTTACACACAGGGACACAAATGCAGTCCTGTCAAGAGGCTGAAACGTGCTGTTTCTGCCTTGGCAAGAATTCATGCACTACAGCCACAGAGCTGAGCTACTGAACCCCACACAACACAGCAGGCAAAAGCAAAGGTGGGGCTGTGCCACAGGGAACTGCAGATTGAAAGGGAGCACAACAGCTCACTACATAGTGCTTAGGCTTCAGGAAGAACGTTGTGATTTAGGTATAACACACAAGAAAACTGCAGCTCTGAGTGCTGGACTAAGGGTATTGGTGCAAGATCTCATCTGATTCAATTCTGGTTATTTACAGCCCCCCTGTTGGGTTGACTGTACTTCCTTTAGGATATGAACTGGCTTTTAAGCTACCACTTAACTAGAACATCCCTTAGGGATGTTTTAAAACATCCTAGAACAACTCTTAGAGTTCATAATGGTGGAAACAATTCAGCAGAGATTATTTTCTTTTTTTCCCTTCCTTAATGCCTCTCTGACAAAGCTTTTTTTTAGGCTTTGAAAACAACCTGAGGAATAAGCAGCAGCGAGATGTCCCCAATGTTCAGTCAGAACGGAAATGAAAATCTCTGTATTCAAGTAGTAACATCCATCAAGAACCCAAAATCCACAGGATGTCCATGGAACCGGTTGGATAAGCTTACTTATCCAGGTTTCAAAGAGCTGAACTATTGCACCTCGAGTTTCCATTTCAAAACATGTATTCCATGGAGTTATAGGAAAATATTTCAGACCTGACCTTACACAGCATGTCTGGGTCAGCCTCGCATTGTTTAATTGGGATCTGCAATATCTTATTGTCTGTAGTTTCAAGATCATACAAGCACTCAGTATCTGGGTCAGAGCTTCCACTTAAAAGGCAGGCAGAGGCAAAAATGCTGTCTTTTGAGCAGCCTTTCATCAGCTTGTGTCATCAGAGGCGAATGCCTCTGAGTTTACAACAGAGTATTTTCACAAAGATGTTCTCAGAAAGAGAAAATGGTTGGGTTTCAGACCCCTTTAGCAATAAGCTAAATCTGACTGGCATTTGTTACAATGAAAACTCCTCCAAATTAACCTTCACAAGCAGTAGGGGGAAAATGGCAATTTTGGAAGGGGTTTTGCTTGCCTAACTTCACCTGTGAGAAATACAAGCAGAGAAAACAAGACACCGTGTGTTGCTAGGGCGCACATCTCCACCTGGAAGATGGAGATAAGCCTGGGTATCTCCTGGCTGTGGTCTTACCTTCACAGCATAGGTAGTAGAAGGGTCCTTGGAGCAAGTGGCACAGTAATAAATCGCGTCCCCCGAGTCGCAGCAGGGCTTGTTGCACGTCAGCTTGAAGAGTGACCAGTTGTTCTCGCTGAAGTGCAGCTCGTTCTTCTGCTCCCGCATGAAGCAGTCCTCGCACTTGGCGACCAGGCGGCGCAGGGACTCGGCGTACAGGGCCCCCAGCTTGCTGTACACCCCCTCCTTGTTGTCAATATTGCTCAGGAGGTTGTGGAGGCTGGAGGCCGAGGACACTTGGCTGGACACACTGAGCTGCGAGGAGGAGAGGGACTGGGGGTTTCTGCTGGGGCCGCAAGCCCCTGTGCTCTTACCAGTGCTTGAGCCCCAGTAGCTGTTTCCTTTGGAGCTTTTCTCCAGGGACTCAGAGGAGGAGAAGGCACCAGGGCGGCCCCCCAGGCTGGCTGGGTGGATGAAGGGAGGCTCCTCTCGGAGGCACACATTGCTCTCAGAATGGCTGACATTCAGCCTGGGGCTGGCAGCACCAGCTGCTTTGCCTGAAGATGCCTGTCCCCCAAAAAAGCCGTCTGGAGAAGACACAGTTCTGATCACCGTCTTCTTCTGGGGCAGAGGGGGCGGGCAGCTGGGGCCAGAGGAGCGACCATCCTCAGTGGAGACAGGACGGAAAGGTACAGGGGGAAACACTTGACTCTCAGCTGGAGTGGGTGAGTGGTTCGGCTCAGATGAGTGTCCTAGGAGATAGCAACACACAAGAAGATGCTATGAGTGGCTCCTTCTCCATATCCTTGCCAGCCCCAGGGGCCTGGCTGGGAAGAAAGCAGCAAGCCAAGTTACATCTGAATCCAGTGCACAGTCTTCAGCCATTCACAACTGCAAAGTTTCACTGGAGGGGTTAGGGATTTAATCCAGTTTAACAGAGCAGGTTTGCAAAGCAGGCTGCAACCAGCCATCCAGAGAAATGCACTTCCCCACCCTTGAAACCACTCCCCTATGAACTGCATATACAGTAGTAAAAAGGTAGTAGAGGGTAAATATTTAAGCTGTGATGTCATCCACAGGGAGGCAAGAATGAAGACTCGATGCAAGGACAATCTTTTAAACACAGCCTCTCTCACCTGGGAGCTGCCACCCAGTGCTTCAGCAGCAGGGCATGATAAGGAGAGAGTGACTCACGGCACACAGCTCCAGACCTCTGGCTGCACTAGAGCACTCCAAGTATATCGAACCTTTCTCTCTGCTTCACACTGGGGAAGGGTCGCTGAGCAAGCCTGGGATTTTGGCAATTTCCATCTTGCTGAAAAAGAATCTGGCCTTCCCCCCACCGCCTGTTTCCCTGCTTATTGCCAGACTTTGCTCAGAGGGCAGGCTGGCCCCACTACATACCACAAACTCCAAGCAGCTTCACATGCCAGCTGCACATGGATTGGGTTGGGATGGCTGGCTCATTCTGGGCAGCCATAGCAGCTGCTTTCCTACCTGGGCCAGACCAAGACGGGTAATACACTTACATGCCATGAAAGGAGTGGGACATTAAAAACAAAGGACAAAAAGGTGATCTGACATTGCAATAAAGAGCAGTAATTTCAGGTCATAGAGACAGAACAAGTGAGGAGTGGAGGGGAAATTAAAGGAAGAGAGAGAATAATCCAAGGGAATTTATCTGTGCCACTTCAATGACAAATGGAACTCTGCTAACAACTTGCATGCTAGTGTAAACCTGGAAAGGTAAACGGTGGGGTTTTGCTCCAAGCAAATAGCAAATAGTTTAGCAAATAGCAGGATCTATTGCTTTCTTTAAATCTATTTTCCAAAGCTGCAGAGCAAATGATCCTTCCTCCTCACAAAGCTGGTGCTGAGGGTTTAGCTGCCAGCAGGCACTTCCTCACAGCGGCTTTCTGCCTGCTCCAGAGGAATGCCCTGGGGCACTTTCCATGTCAGCCCGAAGAAGGCACTTGTCTCCTCACAGCCCAAGTGACTCACCAGCAATCATGTACAACCTCCAAGTGCAGGGGCTCAGGTCCCCGAGTTCCCAGCCTGTCCTGGCATGTCACTTGCAGGTTTGCACCAGCTGTGCCACAGCAGCAATCCCTGTTGGCTGCTCTACCACCTGAGACCACATGAGGTGAGGGCAGATCCCCTGGTTCTCAGCTACCAGAGTGGATGCTGGCACCATCTGGCCCTATCCCTCCTCACCAGATTTTGGTAGAACTGGTCAATTTTCATTTGTCTCCTCCACTGCCAAGTCTCTCTGGATGCACCTCCTGTAATCTATCCCATCACACCAATACCACCGAGAGATACCTCAGGAATGAGTAGCACTGATTTCAGCTTCTGCAGGTTTGTCTCCCATGCAAGGCTGTTTCAGCAGTCCATTTCTGACAATATGCTCAGAAACAGCTCTGTAGGAAATGTGAATCACCACATGTCTCTTTTGCCCCAGTGCTTGGGTGCCAAGCTATCTGACTCCTGTTGGACCCTTGCCCCAGGTGTGTGCCTGCATTATACACCCAGCTGCCCAGCAAGTGACTTCTCTCCAGTTTCAGCTGAGAAATATCTGCCTTAACAATTGAGATTCATGCTCCTAGCTTTAGTGAAAATCCCATACATCTGCATCATACTCTAATAGGTCCACAGGAAAGATTCTCTCCATTAAAACCCTGTCAAAAGCCACAGGCAGGGATCATTCAGCATGGAACCACTTGCCACTTGCATCCACAGGACTTTGACAGAGGATAGAGCCAAGAGAAATTCTTCAGTGTGCAGTCCACAAGTACCTCACCAGAGGCAACTCTGCCAGGACATGCAGCTGAATCCCTGTTTCAAGAGACAAGATTTACTTGAGAGAGTCTTAGGAAACAAACGTCAGCACTGGAATCTTTGGCAACCGGTCCAGGTGCCTAGCCCACAAATGCCAAGCTGCTCTTAAGTTGTTTTTTTTTTTATATGCTGCTGGGCTCTGCCCCAAGCAGAGGGTAATGAATTAAACTCTTTCACAGCTCTCCTAACAGTGCTCTGCACCTTCAGCATGCAGTCCTTCTGCATGTCAAGGGCTTAAAAGCTCCCCTCCACTTCATATTTTAACATCTGACAGCCCAGCCAATTAATTTGAGCTCACCTCACTCAGTGACTGACTGCACAGCTTCTTGCTTGCATCAGCAAGACAAACTGCATTTGAGTGTTCATTTAAAAACTCATCTTTCCTATGATGAGTTTAAATAGTTGCTTCTGTTAGTGAAGGCAGAGAGATCCTCATGTCCCTATCATTTTTGACAGCAAATTGCTTCTGTGCCTAGCAAGTAAAGATCCAACATAGGCGAGTGCTTCTTACCCTTGTACAATTTCCTGGCAAGGTCTCACTCTCAGACTCCAAGTTAGAGGTGGAAAAATGGAGTTTCCAGAGCTCTGGCTCTTAATTTTATTGCTGCACATTGTTGCTCTTGGAAAGATAGAACTTCCACTACATGAAGGTTGCTCTTGCTAAGGAAATGCTTTCTGAGCTGCTGAACACGTTAGTGCATGTCTAAGTTACGCACTGATGAAAAAAAGTGACTTCATAGTAAGTATTTTTTAATCTCAGTTAAACGAGTGCAGGCAGATTTTTTCCCCTTAAGAAATAACTGGGAACACAATGAGAGGGAGAGATCACCTCTAGTACAAAACTCTTTCTGGTACTCCTCAAATCTATGTAGGACTTTCTGTAGCAGAGGTACTTGTGACATTGTGAAATGCATGAAGCACAAGCAGGACTGTTTTTATGTGGAGATTTTATCCAGACCAGAGGAGATCTACAGGGTGAGTGATATTGGCACGTGCTGAACGACAGAGGAAAAAGCCTGTGATATTGGTCTGACACTGCCACATTCATCTAAAGTGCATCAAGAGGCAGAAGGGTAGGAGAAGAGGAAAGATGAAGGGTCACTGGGAGAGGTGGGGACTGATCCCTGCTCCAAGGATGCTGTCCCAGCAGTGGGCCTCAGGTGCAGTGCTACCCCTCCCAGAGGCAGTGGTCACTTACTGCCATCGCTGCCGGTCTGTGTGTCCGAGTCGAGGCTGTCGCTGGAGCCAGCCGTGAAGGTGACGTGGCTGCTCCTGAAGGGTGGGCTGAGGCTCTCTGCAGAGCTGTTGCTGACTCTCTCCAACTCAGTGTTACTTGGGTTCATTTTCAGTGCGTGCCTAGAGAGAGTGAAAGAGAAGTTAGGAGACAGATGACAAAAGGATGGGTATCCTTTGCATGCACTTTTGCATGGAGTCTCAAGCTGAGAGCAGCCTTAGTTTGCTCTCTGCCTATCCATACACTGCACAGTCTCTTATCACACAAGATTACCTCATTCCTGTGCACTTTTCTTCTTTCTCCAGGACCTGGGGAATTGCATCCCACAGACTCTGAGAAGGTTAAAGGCTTGTAGTCCCCCTGCCAAACTAAGCTGAAAGCTGGGCTTGAGCAGAGAGAGAAAGCCAGAGAGCCACGAACATTCACCCGCAGTCTGCATCTCCTTTGCCTAGAACATGTGAGGTCCAGGACCACATCCCATTTTTGCCACTGCCACTCATAAGTGAGGACCCACCAGTGTTTGCCTCCAACAAAGTTCTCAAGGGAAGGAAGTAGCATCACTCCTCCTCCCATTTTACAGGAGGCAGGTTGAGGCTGGGTGTGTGAGCCCCATTGCTCCATGACAGAGGCACAGGTAGCAGAAGAGTCCATCATCTCCAACCATGCATCACAGTAACAACCAACACCTTACAAAAGAAGAAGCATCTCTGCAAAAAACATGAGTCTGCCAAACTCAGGACCTACTACACAGTTTTTAATGTAAGACCTACAGTATTCCATGCAGCTTCCATCTAAAAAAATAAATAAACCAACCATAAACTGTGCTTATAACCTGCTAGGTCATGGCTTAAGTGACCAATTTAGGCAAGCAGGATTTCTTGCAAAGATAAAGAATTTCCCCTGCATTTTCTTCATGTTTCTGCCTTGGAAAACAACAGAAACTGTTGCAATCAGGCAGCACAGAAGAGCATAAACACTCCTAGCCTTGGTACAGTTCTCACTCTGTCAGTCAGAAAACAAAGGTTATCAGTCCACATTTTTTAAGTAAAACTGCCAATCTGCTGATTAAGTTCAACACATTGATTAAGAATGTGAAAAGGTTAGTGGCAGACTTGTACAGAGGTAAAAGGACTTGCACCAGCTATCTTGCTGGAAGGTATCCGGCGTTTCCTAATCAGATGGCTGAATGGCTGCTGAGAAAGACAAACAAAGACATGCACGACCGTTTTCTTGTGGCACCCCGGTTGCATGCACGGGACCCCTCCTCATCCAAAGCTCCCGAGCACAGCAGACACAGATTTTTATTTGAAGATTGAGAAATGTTTCATTCCCAATCCAGACAAAGCACTTACTCTTGTGTCCACACCACCACATGGAGAGCAGAGTGTATGAGAAGCCCGGAAGAAACTTCTGCCAGACTTCCTCATTTGCCTGAGCAGCCTTGGTCTAAAAATACTCAACGGCTGATGAAAATAAGGCTCTAAAAACCAGTTCAGGTATACTTCAGCAGAGACACTGACCTTCCACCAGTGATGAATTTATCACAGCAAGCTTCTTGGGGACAATTTACAAAACTTCACAATGCACCACACAAGTCACAGTTTAAAAAATGAGAGAAGGTGAAAAAGAGAGACAGAGAGTTTGAGGGGTTTAGGTCTGTTATGACTAATGCTGTTGAAAGCAACCAACTGCACTTAAATATTTTTTTTTTTACTATAAAGATATAACTTTATCCTATAACTTTCTCAGACGTTTAACATTTAGTAATTTGGGTGGAAAAAATACAAAGGGTGCACACCCATGCCGGTACACTGTCTGACCCAGCAAGAATCAAAGAAGCATTTGAATCCACCAGAAAAGAAGATTTAGCAAGATATCCGGTCTTGATTCAGATGAGATGTTTTCTAACACATTCCCTCCCCCAGCTACCCCCCCTCCAAAAACTGGGTGCATTTCTGTTTCTTTCCCATCACTAAGCACAAACTCACGGAGCTGCCTTACCATTCCCGCACTCAGGGAGAGATGAGACTTTGCTCGGCGCGGTCCAAGGTCCGCCGAGCGCAGCCACACCTATTCCTCCAAGCAACCTGGGCGCAGCACGGCGCCGGCCAGAGCCTTGCTGTGCCGGCTGCTGCCCTTGCTGCGCTCAGCGTTGGTGAAGTCAGATGCAGAGAGAGCCCCGTTTCCTCCCCGCACCGCCGTGACTGATGGAAAGCGCAGTTCCTGAATAGGCGCACCGAAATAGAAATTGTTTGCCGCTTAAACGACATCCTGCTCTTGTTTCAGATGTTACAGCCGGGCCAGCTAATCCCTCCTGGAAATACCTCTGCCTCACATCTCCATTTTTCCCTATGAGCTGCTTGAAGCACAGGGTGCACATCAAAATACCACCCTCTCTACCAAAGAATTACTGCTGAAAACTTGCTAGGGTCAAACTCTCCCATTTCAGTAAAATTCCACCCCAAGAGCTGAACAGCTCATTGCTGCAACAGCCTGTGGGACCCTGATTTACAGCTAACCCAAACATCCCCTGCTTTGCTAGTGTTCCTTCCACCCCACCTGACTGCAAGGGCACAGGTGGCTATTTTCTGTCTTGCCCTTTTCACCACCAAAGGATGGTGGAAATCACCAGAGTGTTGGAAATAAAGAGCACAGCCCATCCTAAACCCGAAGAAAACACTGGGTTTGTACCCTGCACCACTGACCTGTAAACATCTGTGGGCTGCACTCCTCTTCAGAAATATATAACAGTACTTAATTTACATAAATTTAAGAATGCCCGCTCAGCACCTAAAACAAAACCAGCAACTTCAAGAGCAGCACCAGAGCCAACATCGTGTGCCTGTGCATAAAGAACAGGTCACCAGAGTCAGCTCTCCCAATCTAATAATGTAAACCCACAGGATTTCACTGATTTTCAGCTCTCCAGCTATTATGGTAGCTTTAAATACACTTCAATTACTCAACATCCTCCATGCAACAGCCTGGCATATTCAAGCAACCCTTCCAGTTCCCTATTTCCAAGTTTTCCCATCATAAACAATTTCATTCAGCTGCCTTTCCACATGATTCTCACAGTCCTGCCTAAAACAAGTCAAGACTGGAAAGAGTGGTCTTGTAAAAAAGCACACCAAAACAAAACAAATCCCCCCCCAAACCCAGTCTGGAGTTCTCTTAACATTGAAAAGGGACCGGGCTCATTTCCCTTGTCTCAGGTTGCAACTCTGGCCAGGGCGTGCTTCATCTTTCCTGTGTCTCAATTTGACCGGTAGCCATGTGTACAATTTCACATTTCTTCACAGATCAGGGTCCCACATAATGCTGCTGTGGGACTCCAGCATCACCAACTGCATGCTTTGCACTTCCCAGAGAGACAGTGGAGATGGGCACCAAAGCTTGGCTCTCCTCACCACAGAAGACACACATGCCTTCCTGGGGATACTGCCCCAGGAATCCCTGGACTTTGGACATACCTTCGGCTTGAATTTCCTGTCTGAGATTTGACACGGAGATCTGGTTACTTTCCACAAGAGCAAGGGGCAGGTTTTGAGAGCAGGAGGCCCCTCAGACTAAAAAGCTGCCCGCTCTCTCCCTTCCTGCAGCCATCCCACGGGTTGCTGGCAGCACTGGAGGATGTGTGAGGCACCTCTGCCTGGCACAGAGCCCTGATCACTCTGCAGTGCCATCAGGGGGTTCCCCTAGCCTTGCTGTGCCAGCAGGAGGAGGACACTCCTCAGCCCAGATGACAGAACTGAACAGATAACAGAGATGCTGAGCTTTACAAGTCATGTGACAGAGGAACGAGGAGAGGAGAACAGAGAACACGCAGATCACGACACAGCAAACTGCATTCCAGGAGGGGTTTGGTTATAATGTCAACAAGACACCCCCTCCCAGTATAAAATAATGGAACTAATGCACAGAAGAGAGAAAAGCCAGACTGCATTACAGCATCAAACATAACATATGGCTAGGCATAATTATTACACAAGAGGAAGCACCATTGTACCATATGCTTGTCTATCATGAAACGTGAATAATTATATCTTCCTCCTGTTGCCACTTACTGCTTCTTCCAGCATCTTCCCCTGGTTGCAGAGGGATATTAAAACCCAGCATACAAAAGCTTGCAATATTTGAAGCTTAGATTTGTAGTCATCCTTCTGGTATCAGCTGGGAAATGTGGAGAAACCGAAACTGAGGTAAGGGAAAGGATTTTGAAGAACTCCTAGCTTTGTTCAGAGGGATACACCGCTCCTCCCTGTACTAAAGGGGTTCATGTAGCACGGGTTAAGTTGAAACAAGGGTTTGGAATCTGGAGATGCACAGGAAAATTCAGATAGGGTACAGAATTAAGATGGGAGTTGGCTCAAAAATTAAATCACTGCATACTCTAATGTGGTGAAGAAGGTAAAGAATCTCATTTAAATTTCTAACTCTGCTTTTTTTAGTGGTAAGACAGGAAACACATAAAAGAGTGAATGACCTTAATTTTAAAAGAAACAAACTCTCCTAAAAGTTAAGCTGATAGATCACAAGCTTTTAAGCCAGTATGTTTTGTCACTGGGATAGACCCTGACACGGAGCTCCAAGGAGAAACGGGTGCCTCAGGAATGGTGAGAAAAAAGGAATATTCTGCCTCAGGTACAGTTGCTGCTCCATCACAGACTGATTCCCGGCAAGGAACACACAGCACAGCCCCACCAGCCAGCACCACCTCCCCAGCGAGGAACAAACCTGGCTCTTTTCCTGATGATCCAATTCCCAGCATTGCAGTTTTTCTGCAACACTCCTGTGCTCTGTGTCCTCCGGCAGCAAGCGGTGGCAGCAGCACCGGAACAGGCAACCTTGGCACTCCTCAGGCTCTTTCTCCCTGGCTGTATTCAGCAATGACAGGTGTGGGGAAGTGCTGTGCTGCACCTTTGCTACCCCACACCGGCACACTCAGCAAATTTCAGAAGCTTTTTTTGGCACTGCATTTTGAAGGTGGCACTAATTGTGATGAAAACAGTTCAAGATGCAAAACAGCATCACCTTTTTCTTTTTTTAAGAGGCACACGAAATAAATTAGCCATCAAGGTTTTGGAGGCTAGAAGAAACCACAAGGATCATTTAAGTCTGATTCTCTGCATAAGAGAAACATAAATTTCAGAAAAGATTCAATCCTTGTGCCAAGAAACTGAAGGCCATACTAGAGCATTTTACACCAAAGAGCTTTTAAATCATCATTGCATATACATGTCCTGGGGATCCTAGTTTCCCTGGTAAGCTCCTTCCCTAGCCAACTACCTTTTCCAGCTTTTGGAAGAAGACCAGCAGCCAACATCTTCCCTTTCCAGCCTTTTTCCCCTTGTAATTATACTTATTTATCATTCTGTTTCAAACCAAGCAAACATCAAGTATCTAAAATCTTTCAAACAAGCAGAAAATGAGGATTGTATGAAGAAACAGTTGCAAGAGATCCAGAGTAGGTTTATATAAGACAAAACAGGCACAAATTCATTATTTTCCTTTTTTTGTGACAACTTTAAAATTCCCCTGAAATCGCTCCTTCTGCCATCCTAAGAGACAGCTTACTTCCAAACCAGAGCTTCCTCAGTCTCTGGAAGGAATTTACCCTGTAAAAATTTTTTCCCTTTTAATTGTTTAAGCCAAGATGAACAAAACAAAATCTACAGACTCACTTTTTCTTTCTCTGCTTTATAACTATTCAAACACACATCCAAGTTTTCCCTAAAATAAGCAATTAAATTTCATTAGGAAAGTCAAGCAGAGGAACTTAATTTTCCAGCATGAAATCAAATGCCTTGCTGCAGCTTGAGATCCAGAAGGAAAAAGGATGGTTACGTGCCTTTCCTGCAGCTGAGATGAAACCCTGATCTTCTGAGCCGCCAGCCCCAAGCCTGTGCCACAACCAGGTCTACACTGGCTTCACCTCCATCAGCCAAAGGAGTAAGCCTCACAGAAGGATCAGTGGTTCTTCCATCGGGGACAAGCACATGTTCACAGCCTGCTCGGCACTAGGAGAGTATGGACATGCCTCAGAGTTATTTTTGTGATTCTGCTCCTTCAGGTATTGGCTGCAGCCCAGGATGAACAGAGATGTTCATCCTACAGAGGGTTCATGCATTTGAAGTGGCTGTGTATAGCACATGTTTATGATAAAATTGCCAATACCTGAAGGAGCATGAAGGAGCATGAAGTGAGCCCCTGATACTATACTAAAAAAAGCTGAACCATCCTTGCATTCCGCTACTTTTATCCTGCTGCCCAGATCACCAAGTATTTTCCAAGAAACTCGTTCAAGCATCCAACCAAGCCATCATGCATGTTTTTTGTATCAGCCAGCCCCTGATACACTGACTCAGTGACATTCCTGTTGGCAATTTTATGCCTGAGAGGCATGAACAGAGATGGATGTTCCTCCAGCACCAGGCCATGGCCCCAAGCTACAACAACTGCCAGGGTGACTCAATGCCACTGTGGTGATGTTACCAGCTGTGCGTGCAGCCATCCCTCCCACCGCCCTGGTTCCTGCGTTGACACGCTCGAAGCAGCCACAGTGCTGCTTGAGACAAAAACTAAAGCGCCCTCAAAGCAAAGAAACAAAGCAGGGCTTGCAAAACCTGGGTCTGATCAGATCACTCCTTACTGCTCCTCAGCTGGCTGGGCTTTGGCTTTGGTAGCTGGAGGCAGGACTAAGCTCTTTCGAGTAAGGCGCCCCACGGCTCAGCTACAGGCAACAAGGCCCTTGGGAGACAAATACCTCTAGCACAACCTGCCCTGCAGCCACAGAGGGTAACCAACACCTACCTCAAGCACCTGGCAGGGTTTACAGCTCTGCCAGAGATCCCAGTCATGGATGCCACGTGTTCCCTGACCTCAGTTTCCCTGCCTGCTTTCATACAGGCTTTCTAGCACACAGATGCTTTCATCAGGATGACTCAAGAGCAACTGCTAGAACTGGCACAGCCCAACAGCACCAGGAACATGAAATAGCCCCTCAAAGGGGCAGAAAATGCTCCACGCTCCTCTGGTGTTATAACACCACACAGAGGACAAGAGCAAATACATCTGTGTGCTCATTTGCCTGTGGACCTTTTGTTTCCTCTGACTCCAGCAGGCACGTGGCATCACAGCAGGAAGCCCAGCATAAAGGAGAACTAAAGCCACTTGATCATCTCTTCCCTTCCCTTGAGAAACCTCATTTGTTCACCTCTTGGCCAATTTAAAACACTAGCTCCCTGGGCTAAACAATCTCAAAACACACTGAAAATTCACAGTCTCCACCTCGAGGGCATTGATACCTACACATAAGTTCGACCATGGATCCCAAGGCCAAGTTCTCCTCCAAACACCCCATCCCTTCTTCTCTTGACTTTTAAATCAAGGAGCTGGAGTCAAATCTGTTGTGCAATGCACAGTTTCAGGTAGTAAAACTGCCACACACAATAAAGCAAATATGGGATGCCTGCAAAAGGCAAAAGTATCCTTCCTCACTATGTTCAGACAACATACTTGATGGAGAGAAAAACAAATTTTCTTCCCCCATTTGACCTTCATTTTATTTCTTTTTTCCCTTTTTTTTTTTTTTTTTTTTGGTGATGCACACAGCTGCAGATACTAAATGCACCAAAGTATTGTAAGCCTGAAGTTTTTTTTTAATTGCTTAGCAGGGCTATTTCCTTCCCAGATGGACAGCTCTCCCTCACTTCTGTTTTCTGGGGCCTGCAGCTGCCCTGCCTGCAAACCTGACTTCCAGGAAAGTGGACAGCAGAAGGTTGCCTGAAGCCAGGTGGCTCCCATACGTAACAAGCCCACATCGGGCAAGCTCCAATTATCTGCTTGCAGGCAAGGAGCCCTCCCTGGGAAACTGCAGCTTTGAGAGTTCACCTTGAAAGCAGAAATTCATTAGAACCGAACTGAAAATGTTGATTTTGGAGGCCCTTGTGACTAGCATCAAGAAAAGTTGCCCAGTCCCACCTACAAGAGAAGATTGCAACCCCAGGTTTTCTATGCTATTCAACATTAAGGAACTGCCAAGACAGAACAAAGCTGACCTGGGAAACACCAGCCATCCTGGGCATGGACCTTTTTCTCACTTGAATATTGGGACTTAAGGCCATATCTTGCATCCCTGAAGGGCTTTTGCAAGTGCACATGACATTTAAACCAAGACTCGCAAAAATCAGACAGCTTTTCAGAGTAAAAAGACAAACAGCTTTTCAGCTGAGCAGTCACCTCCCATAAAAGCCACCTTTGGACAGAAAAGGAGGAAAAAAGAATGGGAAGCACCTCCTAGTCAGTGAACTCCTGCAGCAAACATCCCAATTGCAAAGGGTTAACAGACCACCATGCACACACTCGCGGAGCTGTACCTAGACTGCTTTTTCGGCGGCGGCGGCGGTGGTGGCGCAAACTCCACACCATTGCTCTTGTCCTTCGGGAAATCAAAGGAGAAGGAAGAAGATTTGGTCATTCCAGTCTGGCTCTCCAGTATCGGACCATCATCCACAAAGTCAGTACCAGCTCTTCCACTCTCAGCTCCTACTGTCCATGAGTGGTTTAAGACCTCCTGCTCCTCCTCCTGCTCCTCCTCCTCCTCTATTCGGCACTGTTTGGTCCACGTTGGGTTATAGTATTTCTGCCTCCTATCATAGGATGAGCCTGCCAGACCTTTACTGGACTCCTCCACAGAGACCCCATTCACAAGAGTACAGGGAGAAGGGGTCACCCCAAAGGCACCTGTATCAGTACAGCTCCTCGGCAGCAGCTGAGCACCAGCTCCATCATGGCTGTTGTCATCACCAAACCTTCCCATGTGGGAGCTGACTGCGGGCACACGGCTCCCCTCACTGCCTGGCTGGCTGTTTTTGGACATCTTTGGGGGGATGGCTGGACTCTCAGTAAGTGAGGTCTTGACAGGAGCTGCCAGATGAAATCTTGTGCTGTTTTCACATCCAGATGCTTGAAAAATCTGTCCAGACTCAATAGCAGGTGATGAAGTCCCAAAATCGGGGTGGGAAGTGGGGCTGACACATGGCCACTGAACTCCTACTGCTGAGTCAGGGCTGCTGAGGAATATTGTCTTGTGATCATCCTCAGTGTGTGCTGTCATTATAGTTATCTTTGCTGCCACCTGGCCAGTGGAGTCCTGGTGTTCCTTCTCACCTCCCAAAGCCCAGACAGCATCCCTCCACAACCCATCAGCTTTCTCCTTGGCAGTGCCATGGCCCAGCTTCTCCGCTTTTGTCTGGCTGCCAACAGCCTTCAGCTGTGCCTTCCTCCTCTTGGTGCTCTCGGCATAGATGGGATCACCACGGGCTGGCTCGGTGAGGCGAGGGCGCTGCGGCTCCACCAGAGCCTGCTGAGGGGTGCTGGAACCCTCAGTGCAGAGGCCTCCAGTGACAGAGGGCTCCCCAGGGAGAGGCAAGTCCTCATCCTCCCGGGACAGAGCAAGGGCAGCTGTCTTGCAGCTCCCCGTGCTCTCAGGGACGGTGGCAGGCTCCGTGTGGAGAGCCAGGTTTTTCCCGTCTGAACGCAGGGCATAGGGAAGGGGATCACCCTGGTCTTTCGTGATGCAGAAGGCCGCGTTCACAGCTCTGCGCTCCTCTTCGCTGAACTTGACTGCCTGGCCACTTGGCCTTGGAATCTCGGGAGCATCCCGCTGCCTCCATCCGCTGGGAGTGTGGCTGTCCTTCTCACACTGTGCAGCCTTTTCCTCTGTGCAACAGGGCTCCCACGGGGCAGGGTGCTCCTTGTGGCACTTCGTGATCGAACAGTACTCGCCCCCTTCGCTTTCCAAGATGGAGGAGATGTGACCACAGTCACCCCCCGAAGGGAGTGCAACTCCTTCTCTGGCTTGGGAAGAAGTGCTTCTGCTGGAGTTAGTGGTGCTTCTGTCCCCCAAGGCAGATGGATTAGGGCAGGGGACCTGATGAGGCAGGGCAAACTTGTCTTTAACTCTGTCCTCCTGCTTGCCCATCTCACCCACAAGTACCAAGCTGTGGATGGAGACATTTCTCTCCACTCGACTCTCCAGGCCACGCAGACCCACCATGGAGTAGCTGGGAGGACAGCAAGACAAGCGGTCGCTGGGCTGGCTGTGAAGGAAAGGCTTTCTCACACCAGCATTGCCAAAATTGTCAAGGCAGATGCGCTGTGCATCTCCTGATTTCAGGAGGAGCTGCTTGCCAGAAACCATGCCCCAGCTGACCTGCATGGGTCAAAAGAGACAAATGCCCTGTCAGAACATGCATATGCAAAATGAAAGACTAATAAAATTTAAACAAACCCACAAACTGCAAAAACAAAAGGCCAGCTCTGCAGAACAGTCCTCTGGAATACACCATCTGTTTTGCTGTGCTCACTCCACCACTAATTTCCACAAACCTTTCCTGGTAAAACTACTCTTGTCGTATTTCCTGGACCATTTGTAATCCTTGCATTACCAACAATGGCAATGCACTGGAATAAGACATTCTCCTTTCTCTTCCTATGGGTTTGCTGCCAGAAACATGTCCAACCTGTCATCCTGTCTGTGAATCACTGTGCAATTAAAGATTCAGAGAGCGAAGGAATATTTGCACCTCTCTCTGCTTATTTTCATTTCATTTCACACTGCTCCAGAGTGTGTGACTCCAGAACACAGACACAGAGTATCACGGGTTATCCCGGGATAGCAGCTTGGCCGTGCTCAGAAGCAGGGACTGGGGAGCAGGCATGCCAAATCTGCATGCACAGATCAAACACCACCAACAATGGCAGCTTGCACTCATGTGCCCTTCACCCTTTAGAAGAAAAGAAAGGGACAGCAGTGGGAGGCGAGCTGGGGAGCCCTGACTCTCCTCTGAGGCATAGGGAAATAGGAGCACACCTATGCCACAGGCAGTGGGGCAGTAGCCTGTGCGTCACTCTGCTGAGGTATCTGCTGGTATCAACTGGTCAGGGCGAGGAGCTACACCCACAGGCCATTCCTGCTCTGGCAAAGATTGGTAGGAAGGAGGAGGAAGGTAGGGCACTTTCTTCCTCACCCACAAAGACCAGTCAGCATGGACTGCAAGCAGACAAGACATCTTTTCAGTAAAACTTCCCAGGAAAATAACCCGCATCCTCATTTGAAAACTGTAAGTTCCTAAATAAACAATGTATTTTTAAGCTCCTCTGCACATGGCTTGTGAGAAACAGCTCATTCAGCTTTACCCAAAGATACACTGAGAAACCAACACAGGGCTTAAAAACCTGAAGTCAAGACAAGAAAGGAAAAGCAAAGGGAAGGAAACATTTGTAACACATTCCTAGCACTCCCAGGATAGGTAAGTAACGGGAAGTCATGCTTTGACTGGATTAATCATTACCTGTGACAGATCTGCATTCATATTCACATCCGCCCACGCGTCAGAAACATCCGAGTTTATCATTGTTGGCTTCACAGCAATTGTTGGCTTTGAGAAGGGGGAAGTATTTACACCTTCGTCTTCCAACACGAGGCTCTCGGGCTTGGTCCTAGCTCCATCCGGGAGCGCGCCACAAGCTCCCGCGCCTGGGGGTGTTTGCAGCCGGTGGGAACTCTTCGGGTTGAAGCAGTTTTTGCAGGAGCCGGGCTTCCAAACGTGTTCCACAAAGTCACTGCACGCAGACATCTTCAAATCCTCGTGGGTCAGACTGAGAGCCCACTGCATCTTCTGCACTGCCCTCCACTGCTCATTTTGCATTTGCTCCCGAGCCACTCGAAAGGATCACCTAGTCATCTGGAAAAGCACAACACTGTGTGATTAGCTTGATTATGCCCCCAAATGGGAAGATTTTTAATAGGACAGGTGATAATTACACTTACTCTGCCTTCATCACAAAGGCATATTGTTTACGAGGCTTTTTTTCACAGCTTAGCTAAAGCCCACACAATCACTTGAAAAGCCTCAACTTCTAAGCGTAGCTCTGTAATAGAGAAGACATCAAGTGAGCAGCATTCCTCTGTGATTTAATTCCCTGCTTAATCAGCATGTATAACCAGCCTCATGCAAGGTTTAGATCAAGGGTAAAGAAAAGGGGTCTTGGGAAAAAACTGTTCACAGCCCCACAAGCAGAGCCAGGCAGGAAAAATTTCTTCTCCAAAGTGGCATCCTCTCTCTGGAAAATAAAAAGGCCCGGAGACACAAGGACCAGAATCAGAGACTGTGTAACCAAGGGGACCAGCAACAACCTTCCTTCACCCAGAAGCACCACTGTGATTACTGCCGTGGTACACAAAGACTTCTCTCCCACCCAGTGAAAGGCAATCAGCAAGGCTGGGGCTGGCTCTGATTTGAGCAAGTGTCTGGCAGAATGCTCTTATCTGGTTTGCCAAGAGCCACAAATAACAGTGTCAGCTCGCTGAAACGATTCATTGTCTGCAAGGGGAGAAACGTTTTGCTCTTGGATTACTTACAGACAAGGATTCCTTCCCATCTTCCTTCCCCAGGAGGGAAATGCCCCAGGAACAAGACATTCCTGCATTCTTGTGTCTCCATCCCCACCACCCCCCTCCTGGCCAGGTCTGATTGCACTCTAGCCAGTAGCTAGATACCTGGAACTACCAACTTCGGAGATACTTCCGAGGAGGACTCCCACAAAGCTCAGTGTTTTAGGAAAGACCAGACAGAGAATGCAGCCGGCTGCTCTGGGTGTCCGGATATGCAATTCCCCCACGTGTCTCCATAGAGTCCTTCCTCATCTAACCAAGTAGAAGTCATCATCCCCTGGCAAACTGAGGCCCCTTTTCTGAGGGTCTCCAAGTGAACAGGCACTTTTCCACTCCAATCGTGGAGGCACATGAGCAAAATTTACCAGCCTGATCCTTAAGCAGGCATACTAGAACACCGTCAGAGCTATGGACACTTTTGCAATTGCATGCACCTCTAAAGTAGCTTGCGCTGCAGTAAAGATTCTTGTCTCTGGGCTCAGAGATGCCCCGGGCAGCCTCTCCAACAGCCACCCACACTGCATAGCATAAAGAAAGACAACTAATAAGAGCCTGGGAAGGACAAAGTGAAGGGGAAGAGAGCCACTGACCCACAAGCATCACCGAATTCAAGTGCCACCTAGGGGAAGGGTGTCTTTGATCGGCTAAACCATTAGCACCTGCAGACTCCTTCTGCTGGCAGGCTAATAAATTAAGATCTGTTTCTTGAAAAAGTAGGAAAAAAGGTGAATATCGGTAGGATTCACCAATCAGATTGCCGTGTGTCTCTTTTTAGGGGAGACACTGTTTTAGACAGGTTTTTTTATGCATTGAGTCTGAATTAACCAAAAAGCAGCGAATCACTCTCAGGCATATTCCAACACCTTCAAAGAGGTTAACAGTATTTGCAGGGGAAAAAAAAAGCTTAAAAATATTTTATCCTTTGTTTCCCTTCAGATCTAGCACGCAGTGTCCAGCATCACCCCAAGTTGAACAAGTGTCCTGATGAGAGGCAGCAAATTAAAAAGAAAAATCGAAGGGAGGGAAGCAGGCACCGGGGCCAGAAAAAACTCTTCACTTCTGGTTTAATATTCGGCGCTGCCAAATGCCTGTTAAAAACCAGGGTTTCCCTGTCTCCAGCCGTCATTTCTCGCTGCCCAGACCCCGGGGCGGGCCCGTGTCCGCACGCCGGCTGCGCCCCGGGACCCACCCGCACCAACCCACGCGGCGCCGCGCGGGGAAACAGGCCGGGATCGGCGGCGGATAAGGGACCGAAAAGCCAGGACCTGGGTCTGTCCCCGGGCAAGCCGAAAGCCAGGACCTGGGTCTGAGGCATGCCCGGAGCCCCCGCGCGTCCCGGGGCACCGGCGAGGACCCGATGAAAGGACCCGGCTACCTGTTCCCTAGGACAGAGACTCCAGGCTGCGGCGCAAGGATGCTCCGGGGCAAAGAAAAGCCCCAGACCCCCAACCCAAGTAGCTCTGGCTGCCAGAGGGTTCCTCCGGGGCGCCGGGCGCCCACCGGGACCGGGAAAAGTTTACCGGGCAGAGCCCGCCGGGGCTCCCGGGGCGGGCGGCGGTGCCGGTCGGGACCGGAGCGCGCCCGAGCCGGCTACAGACCCCCGCCCCGGCCCTCCTCCCGCATGCTCGGCGGGCAGCGGCACAGCCCCGCCGCCCCGGCCCCCGGGCAGCCCCGCCCCGGCCCCGAGTGGCGGCGCCGGGGTCCCTCCCAGCCGGGCTTTGTCCCGGGAGGCGGAGGCCCGGTGCCCGCCCCGGCAGCAGCTCCCCGCTCACCAGGCTCCCGCGGCGGCGCCGGGCTCGGCTCGGCTCCGCGCTGCGCCCGCCACGGCCGCCGCCGCCACCGGGCGAGTGGCGAGCGGGGGCCCGCGTGGGCCGGGGGGCAGCGGCCGCCCCGCCCCGTCCCGCCCCGGTCCCGCCCCTCGGGCACGGCGTGGGCACGGCCCGGGCGGGAGCGGCGCCCCCCGCGCGTCCCCGCTCCGCACAAAGCGCGCTGCCCGCGCCCTGCGAGGCGTGCGCGGCGCGCAGCCACATCCCCGCTGCGCCCCCGCCCCAGCAGCGCTCCCTCAGACAGGCTCTGACCCACGGACATCCCGGCGGGCATCGGCCCCCGCGGCTTGCAGAGCCCACGAACGCAGCAGCCCCGCACGGATCCCGTGGGGTCCTACGCCCCGCACCCCGACACCAACCTTGAAGACCGTGTCTTCAATTGGAAGGCGCGGGGAGCCAGAGGGTTCACAGGGTTCACTCATCTTCGTCGAGCTTGCCGGACAACGACATGGTGAAGTTCATCCCGAAGGGATGCTGTGGAAGGGAGAGAGAAGTTTGCTGCAACTGAAGTCAGAATTTGACCCCACTGTGCAAAAACTGCAGACAGCATCTCAGGAAAATCTCCAACCTCTGCTGGTGTGGGAGGCTGGGCTTCATGAAAAGGGAACAGGATGAGATTTTGTTCACTGTAGTGGCTGAGCTATGCTTTAGGGCAAGCTGGAAAAGACTACCAGGATAGTCTTCACTTACCCTGGTACTTGTGCTATGGTGTGTAGTTTTGAGCATCTAAATTCTTTGAAACTAGGAAAAACCAAAGCAGTTCTCCCCCTGCCCTGGTCAGTGCCTTAGTTCAGTTCCTTGCTGAAGTCACCGCTGCTTTAGCGCAACAAAGCATTCCTAGTCTCATACATAATAGTGGATTAAAAAGGCAAATAGGCTTGCATAATGGAGAATCCAAGCCCCAAATAACAAAACAGAAACTGGAGATATGCACAGCACTTATAGAAAAAAAAAAATCTTTCTCAGGAACCAATCATCCCAGTAAATTCTTCCCCTTCAGGGAATTTTGGCAGTAGCACACTTTGCAAACATCCTGGCTGGCTGGTCTTTTGCAGTTGTGTCTGTCTGCTCATGTTCTCTCTTCTTTTTTGATCAGTTATTAAAGCAGTCCAGAGACCCCAGAACTCCCCCACTTAGTTTGTTGTATTGCTGTGAAGACATCTGCCTAACAGCCTCCTGCTTCCTTTTTGAAGCGAACCACTCACAATCAATTTGCTGCATCTTTTTGTATGTGGGATCCTAGTGCCAGCATACCCAGTCGTACAAGTAAATGATCTCTCAGAAATGCCCTAACTGTGACAGAAACCTCTCTCCTAGCACAGATCAGCTCATCTGTGGGAGGGAAAAATGAGCAGGGAAAACGAACGGCCCGAATTTCTGATATTTTCTCTGTTTTAGAAAGTTTGAAGGAAAGAGCACAGCTCTAACTAGCCCAGGTGGGGTTGTGGCTGCATGCCTGGCAAATCCTGGAGGATGGTAAACTTCTTCGAATTCAAGTATCTAAATTACATACCTGAAACTTTAAAAAGGGCCTCCACTCTTTTCAATAGGAGCACTATCATTTTCTCAGCAAGCCTTCTTAGTGAAGAATCAAGGATAGCTTTGAGAAGAAAAGTCAGATTTAAAATTCATGCTTTGTCCACACTGGAACAGCACTGGAGTGAATTCTCCTGAGATGTTTATCCCAAGTAGGAAAACTTTTCCCATGCCAGAGGCCTTTGGATTACAGGATAATTAAAATTTCTTTTTTTCTAATGAAGCCAGCCTGTTAATGGCTAGAGATTTCAGTAGAAAATTGAACACCCTCTAGTATTTATAAAACACTTATTCCGTAAGGTCTGAGACCAAGCATGATGGATTTTATGTGCCTGTAAAGTCACGTGGTTTCCCCAGTACAGTATTCACCATTGTCCAGTTTTGGTATTTTCTCAATGTCCAAGAAAACTGGCAGAAAAGAAGCCCTCTCAAGTGGAAAGCAGAACACAATGCCTGCTAAAACATGACTACATATCCTGGCCAGCCATATGTCTCCCAATGTATTGTTTTCCATAATACTGTCACAGCAACGAGGCACATGGCTCAGAGCAACCCTGACAGCACAAAGGGAAACTTTAGGATGACTGGAGCTTCAAGCACCATCCCTCACTGGCAGAAAGGAGACCATCACTGAGTCTTGTTTTCAAAGTGTCATCTGTAAGAGTAACCCCTTGGGAACAGGCAGACAAACAAGCACAAACCCACACTGAGTGTCTCTGCAGGCAGACAAATAAAGCAAAGCTTTCTGGAGATGGGTTCAGCATCACTCATGACCAGCAAAGTTGCCCAGTTACCAAGATTGCTGGTGCTAATAGTGTTT